GGAAGTGGTAGATGCAGGTACACTTATAACATTTAAAAGACATTTGGATAGATATACGAATAGGAAAAAATTAGAAGGATATGGGCCAAACGCAAGTGGCAAGTGGCACTAGTTTAGTTTGGGAAACTTGGTCAGCGTGGACAAGTTGGGCCGAACTGAATGACCACATGACTTTATTTGTGTGTCCAGTGAATGATTTATAGAAGGTTAGTATGCAGCTGTAGCAAGTAATCCAGAAAACTAATAGAATGGTATTACGAGAGGTGAAGTTGAGAAGGGTCCTTCATGGTAACTTCAGCCAGTGTGGGAATTAAACCCATGCTGCTGGCACTGCAAACCAGCCATGCAACCAACTGAGCTAACCGACTCCTTCATACTGTGTCCACAAGTGCTTGTGTAAAAGTGCGTCCTAACACCTTTCTGAAATGGTCTGGCCCTAATTCTCAGACTATGTCCCCTAGTTGTAGAATTTAGAAATGTAAAGCAGATCTTAAAGAAACCTATAAAATTCTAACAAGACTAAACAGAGGTAATGCAGGAACAAAGTTCCCAATTACTGGGGAGTCTAGAACCAGGGATTGCAGTCTTTGGATACAGGGCAAGCCATTTAGGATTGAGACAAGAAATTTCTTCAGTTAGACAGTGGCGAGCCTGTGGAATACATTGCTACAGAAAGGCCAAAACATTAAATGTTTTCAAGAAGGAGTTAGTTATAAGGCTAAAGGGGTCAAATAGTATGGGGAGAAAGTGGGATGATGATCAGACATTATTATACTGAAGCGGGGAGCAGGCTCAAAGGGCCAAACAGTATATTCCTGCTCCTATTTTCTATGTTTCTATAAGATCCTCACAGGATTTGACCAGAAGGGTGCGGAAAAGATGTTTTATCCTGTGCGAGAATCAAGAACTAGGGGTTATAATTTAATGCAGAGAAGAAGAAGGAAATCCTCTCAGAGTTGAGTCTTTGGAATTCCCTTCCTCAAAAGGCAGTGGATCTTTAGACATTTGTAAAGAACAGTTAGATAGATTCCTGGTTAGCAAGGAGATGAAGGATCATGTTGGGTATGCTAGAATGTAGAGTTGAGTTTAGAATCAGAACAGCCATGATTTTACTGAATTGTGGAGCAGGTTCAAAAGGTCAAGTGGCCTACTCTTATTTCTGAACAAAAACAGAAATAGCTGGAGAAACTCATCGGGTCTGCTAGCATCTGTGGAGAGGAAGCAAAGTCCAATGACCCTTCTTCAGAACTGACTGTGATAGATTCTTATTCCTTGTTGTTCTGTTGTATGTTCTTTACCCTTCAAGATTCAGGGCTAATCTACGTTATCCAGTAGTCATGTCTCTTTAATGGCTTTCAGATAATGCAAATAGAAATAAATATTTATCATCAGTTAATTTGTTTTGTACCAAAGTTTCCATGCATTCAAATACAGAGCTTTGACTTTTGTCCTTTGATAAATTTGCACTTATCTGTTATATACTCAGATAGTTACTATCTATCCTGTCATTATCAGCTCATAATTTCCCATAGTAATATTGCCGATTTAATTGAGTTGGTTCCTAGATTATTGATGGAACTGATCGACCATTTCAAAACAACCTGAATTGGAGGAGAAGCCAAGTGTCCTCGATCCTTAAGAATGCTTAAGGAGAAAAATGCGATGCAATACCTAGGATCAAATTACACATACCAGACAAATTGTAGATATATCCTGCTCCCCAAGAGGACCAAAATGAAATTCAATCTATACCCACAAGTATTGTAAATAAGTATGGCCATATTAATTAAACAAACAATCCTAAGATTATTCTCAATACACAACTCAGTTATCATTGCTACACATAAAAAAATGACAGAAAAACAGATTCATGTTTCTTTTCAGTTTGTCTGACAAAATAGTCTGAAACAAATCTGATTTTTTTTCCAGCAAACGTGGTGGATAAATTTTAAGTTGAATGGTCACTATAAATTTATGATACTTCTCCTTTATGAACACCGGGCTCTGTAATGATCATTACACTTCAAAAGTAATCAATTGTGTTACAAAGTTGTGTACGGCGTATAGTTCCTTTAAGAGATAAAGTGCTTTCTAAGCTTAGAGATTTACACAGAAAAAAAAAGTGCCCGCACATAGCTGAAGATGTATCGCCAGTTCTAAACTTGAAACATATATTAATTGGCTGTGTGATTGGAAACCTTAGGCTCATTTTGATGTTTTGACAACTAGCTGAAATCAGCCAAATAATTTAAACTAAGCACTTAGTGACTGAAAGCCAATTGAATTTAAATCTGATAGTTTTGACAACCTTGCACCAATTCTGTTGTAAGAAAATTGATATGTCATCCAAGGCATATAAGGACAGGGTGTTTGAAAATCGGTGTGAGAGCAAACCACTATCTGAGAAATAAACACCTCGCTCTCACAAGAAATTGCTAAGCTCTCTCAGAAAGCACCATCTTATCCATAAAAGGTACCACAGCACTTCGAACTAAGAGTCTTCATAGAGAAAACATCCCTGTCAGCAGGACCAGCGAAAGAAAGGCATTTATGACTTGAGAACAGCAGAAGAAAAGCGTTTATGACTGGAGACACAGTGGGGAAGGCAGAGCATTCCGGAAGACACACTCTGCTGGACTTTGACAGACTAAGTTTTAATTTTTTTCTCTTACTACTTGGGTTATTTAAGTGGGACTTGTGTTTATTGGTATAACATACCAGCAGAATTTTGTTCAGTTCGGGAATAGTTCGGAGTTGTGGGGAATTTTCAGTTTTTTAGTAGTTCTGTCAATTTGTTCACTGTTAAGGTTAAATAAATAAATTGTTACTTGTTACTGAGAAAGTGAATATCAGAGATTTTCTTTCACTTAACTCTCCCATCTCTGTCACAGCTGTGTGACGTATTTAGAAACGGTTAGTAAGTTTGCAGATGACATCAAAATTGGAGGTGTAGTGAACAGCAAAGAAGGCTACCTCTGAGTACAATGGAGTCTCAATCAGATGGGTCAATAAGCTGAGGAGTGGCAGATGGAGTTTAATTTAGATAAATATGAGGTGCTGCTTTTTGGAAAGGCAAATCAGGGCAGGACTTATACACTTAATGGTAAGGTCCAAGGAGTGTTGCTGAACAAACAGACCTTAGACTACAGGTTCATGTTTCCTTGAAAGTAGAGTACCAGGTGGACAGGATAGTGAAGGTGGTGTTTGGTATGCTTACCTTTACTGGTCAGTGCATTGAGTATAGGAGTTAGGAGGTAATGTTGCAGCTGTACAGACCACTTTTGGAATATTGCGCGCAATTGTGGTCTCCCTGCTATAGGAAGGATGTTGTGAAACTTGAAACGGTTCAGAAAAGATTTACAATGATGTTGCCAAGGTTGGAGGGTTTGAGCTATAGGAAGGGACTGAATAGGGTGGGGCAATTTTCCCTGGAATGTTGGAGGATGGCAGGTGACCTTATGGAGGTTTATAAAATCATGAGGGGCATGGATAGGGTGAATAGACAAGGTCTTTTCCCCGGGGTGGGGGAGCCCAAAATGAGAGGGCATTAGTTTAAGGTGAGAGGGAAAAGATTTAAAAGGGACCTAAGGGGCAATATTTTCATGCAGAGGGTGGTGCGTGTATGGAATGAGCTGCCAGAGGAAGTGGAGGAGGTTGGTATAATTACAATATTTAAAAGGCATCTGGATGGATGAATGAATAGGAAAGGTTTAGAGGAATATGGACCAAATACTGACAAATGGGACTGGATCAATTTAGAATATCTGCTCAGCATGGAGGAGTTGGATCGAAGGGTCTGTTTCCATACTGCACAGCTCTATAACTCTATGACTCTAAATGTTCCAAAATAAGAGACTCTTAAAAAATACAAAATACCACTGGTAGGATGGATATCAAAATACCAGTCACTTTTAAATTAGGAAATTCTTCACCTGACTGAAATGTCAATCCTTTAACTAGGTTAACACTATCTTATTTCTAACTTATTTTTTAGACACTGTAAAAAATGCTAATAATTTTCCTTTTATTCCTCTTTTGTATACAAGATTTGTACCTAGGTACTTGTACCTAAGATGGCACAATTAGAAGGCAGCCTTTGTAAAAAAGCTTTTCACTGTACTCCTATACTTCTGTACTGGCATACACGTAACAATAAAGGATCTTTGATTCTATTCTATTTAAGTTGATATATGCCATGCAGTGTATCGAATTTCATAAAAAATTAGATGAACTCCAATGCAATAAAGGATTGATTAAGATATTCCTTTAGCAAAGTCCTCAGAAATTTTAAAATATATAAAAATGCAATGCTAAGCTTTCATATTTACACAAGAACATATATGATGCAATTTCAGTTCTGAGACTGAAGTGCAGAATTTTACATAATTGCACTAGAAGGGTACACAAGCCAAATTTTCTCATCTCTGGATTGTTGTGAGAAGTCTTGACACACTGATCTGTGTGCAAATTGCCGGTCAAGTTTCAAATTTCGACAAGCAATTCTGCTACTCCAGGATTCTCTGAAAATGTCTCTAACGCTGAGCTATACTCACCCAGGAAATGTCCGACAGATTAAATCCCTGTCTACCTCCTAGATAACTAACATCAACCAGTCTCAACTAATTCACCGCCACCCTCCCCTTCAACTGCCAATCCTCCATCCCGCAAACTGACCCAAAATGATCCTCTAATCCAGCTCCTTTAATCTCCAACCCAGCCACTTCTCAACTAACTCACCTCACTTACCTTACCAGTTCACTCAACCACCCTGCCATTCATTGAGTTCCCTAATGAACACAGACATTTCTGGGAAAGCCAGACTTGGCGAGTGCAGAACAAACGCAGAAAAGTATCAGGTGAGAGCTAATCACGAGTGCAGGTGACAATCCTAGGATCAATGGCGCTACTTGGAAATTACAACATTTTTCAACTGCACATTCAATCAAAATTTTACACAAATCCAAAATTAACAATTAGCACAATATATTGTATAAACTTACCATGGCTGAAACACAAAATCATGTTCCCAGACTTCTGCACTTCATCAAACTTCCCAAATAGTGTTTGCAATCTGAAAGCATAAATTCAGTCACATTGGTGCATGCACAGAATAACTTCCAATACTTAATAGAGAAAACACCGAAATAAAAGGTATGCAGTTTTAAAAAAAGACAATAATAATGAACTGGCTGCTTTGGAAATCTTCAATGAAATGCAACGAACATCTTATCTGTACAAGCGAACATGATGAGATAACTATACTGCAATCCTCTAACTGGAAAAGAAATACAGAAAACAGCTTTCCAACGAGTCTTTGAAGCACATGTTACAATCTTCTTTACCCATTTTGCAAGTTAGGGAAAAAATAAAATCTTGACACATCGCAATTAATTGCCTTGTAAGTAATTGACCAAGTGCTTTCTTATTTTCAATTTCATATTTGATACTGAGAACAATTTACCATTATACACCAGCTTCATCAGGCAGTGCATCATTTTTAAAAAGACGCAGTTCGAAAAAGCAAAAACAAAATGAATAGCAACAAGAACGTTAGGAAACCTATACCAATCCAATTAAAAACATAGAGTAACCTTATGTATCCGCCAAATCACGGATCATGAATTTGCCTCTCTGCACCAAAAAATAAGTAACATTAAAAACAAACTTCCATGGGCAAAACTCGCGCATCCGCAATTTTTAATCTATTTTAAAAGAGCTCCACACTTGCAGATTTCATCATTCGCGGGCATTGACAGGGACAGAACCCACACAGATACACAGGTATGGCTGTACATTTAGGTTCTTAAATCATGAAAGGAATTAATCAGAAGCAGGAATAGGTTGTGCAAAACTAGATTATTGCAAAGATTACCACCAACTGTTGTAAACTAGTAATTCCACTGACAATCTCAAAATCAAATAGGGTAAATTTTCTGTAGAAGAAAGGAGGGAGATTGGAAATAGTAAGTCTTTAAAAAATTAAAGCTGCCAAATTCAGACTGTTGCGCCCCCGCACACACACACTCTCGCCCCTTTCCCGCCCCCGCACGCGCACGCACACACTCTCCCCACCTCCCC